TCCCTAGTAGGTGTTAGGAGGCCAGGCTGTACTTTTGCTCCACAGGGGCCCTGTTTCCCCATTCATCCTGTTGCTTGTCTTCTTCGCTGCTATTTGGCATCATCAATAAGCTTAGTCATGAGCATTTGCTCTAGAAAACATATCTTTACTGAAGCTTTTCTGTGTTTAGATAAACACCATCGTGTTGACTACAATATTTGGTACAGTAACATGTGGTTCAGGTTTGCAGCCTAGGAACAATAGGCAGTACCATCTGTTTTAGGTGTGCTGCGGTCTATGCTGTCTAGATTTGTGTATGTACACTCTGTATTTACACAACATTGATATCACATAATGACATACTTCTATCCCTGTCATTGAGTGATGCATATAATTTCTTTGCTAGAAAGATTGTTACGAGAGCATTCAAGTCAGCCTGAGATCTCAGTCACAAGTATCTTATTTTGTTTAACTACATTCCCAAGGATGTAGATTTTGAACTTATTTTACAGCTAGCCTCAGAAAACTTTCTAGTGGCAACTAAGAGACTAAGGGCAGAGACATCCGGAGGAGGGCTCCTCTATTCTCACATGCATGTGCATAAATAATTTCTCCAATCCTAAAGGCTCTTCAGGAAGAAGCTCTAACTGATGATGAGATCAAGATGTGGGGACTCATGCCACATCCTACTACTTTCATGGAATAACATGTCATTATTTGTGTTTTTCATTGTCTTTGCCATTACAGCAGAGACTCTCAATAGACAGGGACTCTATCTTAGTCCCCATACTGTGCCTAATGCCCCACATAATACCTGGCATGTGTAGGGTGCCCAATAAACATGGTGAATTGCTCAGTACAGAGCCTTGACAGCAATTGCACGCAGCACTAGTCCCTTAGACCACTCGTTAAGACATGAGTACAGAGAAAGGCAGGAACAAGCACAGTTTTAAAAGAAATACATGCAGAGCTCGGGAGAACACTTGAGGTGAAAAAAAGAACATGAGAGTTATATGAAAAAGAGGCAGTCAACAATGGTTGCATTTAGAGATACGTGGTTGGGAAGGACTAGGGAAGCCTGAGCTACACCAAGAGGTGACATATTGCCTTTACCTAAAAGGCAAGTGTGGCTTACACTTGTAACTTTAGTGCTTTAGGAGGCTGAGACAGGAGGATTGCTTCAGTCTAGAAATACAAGACCTGCCTGGGCAATATATAAATACCCCATCTCTATAAAAACAAGTTTCAAACCAGCCCGATGAACCAGGATTCACCTGTAGTTCCAGCATCTTGGCACGCTGACGTGGAAAAAGGACTTGAACATAGGTGTTCAAGACTGCAATGAGGCAGGATTATAGCACTCCAGCCTGGGCAAGAAAGTGAGATCCTGCCTCAAAAAGAAATAACCAAAAAAGCAAGTGCAATACTGTGATGATTTTCTGACTCTCAAACATGCACCCATGCATAACCCACAATGGGCACTGAGGTGGTGGAGAGGTCCTGGCTGACAGTATGGCAGCAGCTGTGGGAGGCCTGTTGCCAGGCATAGCTGCCACTGTTAAGGAACAGCATGTGGGAGGCAGGTGGTTAGCTCATAACAAACTGCCTGGCTGCCTCCCAATGGGGCAGCAGAAGGTCTCCAGGGTTTGGGATGCCACTACATGCTCAAGGATGCAGCTCTGCAACTGCCCAACAGGTTCACCATGCCTAGACAGAGCTGATTTATCAAGACAGGGGAATTGCAATGAAGAAAGAATAATCCATGCAGAGCCAGCTGTGCAGAAGTCTTATTACTCAAATCAGTCTCCTCTAGCATTCAGGGATCAGAGTTTAATAAGGATAATTTGGCTGACTCCCCAATGCTCACATATGCGCTTGACTAAGAATCTTCTGAAATGATCCAATCAAAAATTCCATTTTAGTCAGAAAGCAGTATTTTCCCCTGTTCTGTCTGGAATGAAAGGTTTTTCATGGGGAGAGAACAATACAAAAGGAAAATGATGGGAAAGACTAGAAAAGTGAGTTGTCTGCCACCACGAAAAGAAGGACACAGCCCAATTAAGGCTAAGGGTTCTTCTAGGGCTGTCCAGGAATGGAACAGAAATTGATATAGCTCTGATGAGTGTAGGAACACCAGGGCTCTTGTTTCACATTGAATTAGATAAAACAATAGAATCCATGTGGAGTGGATTTAAAAAGTGGAGATTTTAATAGGCAAGAAATTAGGAAGAAGAAGAAGAAAGAAGAAGCTCCCTGTTAGGTCCCCCAAATATGGCAGCACTGTTGTCAAGCCATTATGAACTCTGTAACCTGCATGTACACCTCCTGATGGCTGAAAAAATAAGATTACAAAGAGGAAGGACAACATGTTCCTGTTTTAGCTGACTGATCAATCCACTGAGTCAGCAACAACCAACCCAGAACTGTAACTTTCCACTCATTGCCCTGGCCTATAAAGCCTGCTCTGCCCTTACCGCCACACTGACTCCATTTTCGGACTCAGCCCACTCACACCTTTGTTAATATACAGCCTTGTTGCTCACACAAACCCTGTATGGGATGCCTCCTTCTGACCAGTCTTCAGTGCTTAACAACACTCCCCTGTACAGAGACAGAGTGATCTTCAGCACTTAACAACACGACCTTGTATAGAGGGAGGTAGTCTCCTTTTAGGTGTGCTCTGAATGAAGAGACCACCTTAACAGGCTTTGTGTGAGCAACAAGGCTGTTTAGTCACTCAGGGGTGAGCATGCTGAGTCTGAGAAGAGAGCAGAGGGTGCTGGGTTAGGAGCTGGTTTTATAGGCTGGGGATAAGTATTATGGCAGTTTTTTTTTGCAAGCTGGTAGGGGGTGTGTGTCACAGGGTCCAATGTGACAAGGTTGACCCATCAGCTAAGGCAGGAACAGCAGTAGAATGTCACAAGTTTGGTTAATCAGGCACTGGAGGAGGTAGCCATTCTCCTTTTGTGGTTTTTCTGTTACTCCAGACGTTCTGGCTCTGGGAGGCTATGTGGAGGTGTACTTGTGGGTCACAGGGGTCACCATGGCTTGACTATGGTACAGGTCATGATGCAGTCAGTTCAAAGAACCTTGCAGCTCCAATGCTAAGAAAGGGAACTCCAAGTTGGGAGAAAACCAGTGAGGCATATGTAGAGGCTGGAGGAGATGGTGGTCTGATTTGCATAGGTCATAAGGGATTGGTTTGAACAGGTATGTAATTCATATAGCTGGTAATAAAGCTGGGCCTTCCACCCTAGCCTTTTAGTGTGGAAATGCAGGGGCCTATCTTCTACAGACTGGAGATACATGGGGGCGGCCATGTGAACATGTGGGGCAAGGGTAAGATCCATGTTTTGGTGAACCCAGTTTCTAATGGCCTGCATTGCATATCAAAGGTTGCCAGCTCAGCTCTAAGAGCCCAGACTTTCCTTCTAGAAAGAAGCATGTCTGGAGCAGCTTTAAAATAAACAAACTTTTCTTCTCTATGTGCCTTTTTGGGGGGTGGGGGTGGGGATGGAGTCTTTCTCCATCCCCTGGTTAGAGTACATTGGCATGATCTTGGCTCACTGCAGCCTCCACCTCCAGGTTCAAGCAATTCTCCAGTGTCAGTCTCCTGAGTAATTGGGATTATAGGTGTGCAACCTCCACACTCAGCTATTTTTTTCTTTTTTGTGTTTTTAGTAGAGATGGGGTTTCACCATGTTAGTCAGGCTGGTCTTGAACTCCTGATCTTGTAATCCACCCACTTTGGCCCCCCAAAGTACTGAGATTACAGGCCTATGCCACTGTGCCCCACGTAAAATTATTTCTTAGCAACTCCACAATATCAGCAACAGGATCTGAGAATTGGCAAAATGGATCTAGGAATCTCAGAACAGAAGAGACGAATACTGGTATAGTGCAAAAAATGTGGAGTTCAGATCTGTTCAGCCTATTGTATTGCCAGTTGGCACATACACCACCTGTAGCCTCCAGTCAAGGAATTGAATGCAAACTATAATAAGAAAATGCTTCAGACGCCTCTTTTCGTTTACAAATAGTAAAGACAGTGGACCTTACTATGTATGTTCTATCAAACAGTTAAAAAGAAAGTGGTGAGAGGTGCCTGTGGTTCCAGCACTGAGGGAAGCTGAGGGAACCACCGCACCTAGGGGGACTCACTCAAGCCCCGGGGAAGTGGAGACTGCTGGGAGCTCAAATGGCGCTCCTGCCCTCCAGCCAGGGTAACAGAGCCAGAGCTTGCTTCATCAAAAAGCGCAAGTACAGAAAGAAAAGAAAAGGAGAAGAAAGGCCCAGAAAAGAACACAAGGAAATAATTTTTCTGAGGTGATGCATATTTATTATTTTGATTGTGATTGAGGTACCCTGAGTTTACTCCCATAAGCAAACTTGTCAAACTGTACACATTAAGGAAGTGAAGCTTCATTTGGCTTGCTGTATTTTATACAGATATTCCACCTCAATAAAGCTGTGACATCACACACACGCGCGCACACACGTCACAACTTACGTGGCCGAATTCACCCGCTTAAAAGTGAGCTGTTTTGGAGGTTTTACGAAATGCACATATCTGTGCAACCATCACCAGAAGCTATTTCAAAACAAGGTATTCAACTTACAATTCATGTGCCATAAAACGTACCCTTTCAAAATTTACAATACAGAGGATTTTAGCACATTCCCAAACTTGTGACATTGATTCCAATCCAGAACAACGAATAATTTGTTTCTTAAATTATGATTTTACAATCACAGCATGTAACAGTCACAAGGAATCACATGGCTATTTCTTAACACTGGCTTTTTCCTTGCTCCTAAATCGTGTTCCTTCAGAACTTCCGTTAAATATTTTGAAAGTCGGCAAAAGATAATTTTAAGAGTGTAAATTGCATCCTTCCAGCTCAGTCGACCGGAAAGGAGGAAGCACAAAACAAGTTCCGCGGCATAACTGACACCTGTGAATCAGTATTTAAAAAATTCAGTTCCGTGCTGTGACCTCTGCATCAGAAGAATAACACCTGATTACTTACTAGAGGCGGAATCCGGAACTAAAGTTCTCCCTCTACCTACTTCCCGCGAGTTATGACCACAGCATACGGGTGCACTGGAAAAGGAGAGGATCTCTTCCGACGCAGGGTTTCGCACGATAATATGGCTGCGTCCTGGCTTCGGAGGTATATGCCTCTCTCCTTTGAAAAAGGGCTGTTCCAGCTTGGCTATCTTTCTCTTTCTGGGCACTCCTAACTTGACAGGTGGGAATACTGCTAGTGCTGCTTTAGGAAACCCGATTAGTAGAGCAGAAGTCTAAGAGTGTCACTAGGGGATTCTGGGCTGGCCCTCGTTGTGCTCAGCTAGGGGGTCATTGGAGCTGGCGCGTTGTGTACTTCCTTGACTACGCAGCCCAGTACTGGTTTTTTATCCAGATAAGCTTATTTCTGCATCTTGAAGCTGTCTCAGATTCGTTTTGAGAGCACTGTGGATGCTCTCTTGACGAAAGCTAGGGACACCCGCGACGTTTTCAAAGGTCTGTGAATTTTGCCGGTGTCTGTTCTGGGATCTGGCAGGTAGTAGTATTTCCTCAAAACTGGGCGTGAGTAAATAGTCTGGACGATCATTTTCCTTGGATCAGGAATTACAGATGAAGATTAGCAGTTCTTACAGATGAGGATTAGGACATTTTACTGTCAACTGGGACGAATTTCTCTGAAAAATTTTGGTGCCCTTTTCAGGCCCGGAGCCCCAGGAAGCACTTGAGGCGTGTTGCAACGCCGAAGCACTGGATGCACGATAAACTAATGGGTGTATTTGTGAGTATGACTTGACTTTATGTTCTTTGAAGTCAAGAGTACATGCTTGTATATCTGTGACTTGGTATTTCGTGGGAGCACTGTTTGCTTGTGGGATTTTCATTGGTGAAGACATGCTGCACACGGAACTTGACCTTGCACTCTTCTGAAAAGGAACTTGAAAAAAAAGTTATAACATGCTGTTTGGAAACTACGGGTAGAAGGGCGCTTCTCCCTCAACTTTGAGCACTGGTGTAATCTATAATGTCGCCGAGAACTTGGGCATGCCATTTTTATTAATTAATGAGAGCATAATACGCACAGGTGTTGTTATACGGGCCCACTCGTGGGGATATGTCCCGATAAAAAGTGGTTATAGGCAACAAAATCTAATCCCTCTCTCCTATTGATGCTTACATCCTATTGGGAGGAGAGGGAAGTTTACAGTATGCTCACAGGTGCTAAAGGCTGGGGGTAAAAAGAGTAGGGCCGTTGGAACGGGGAATTGGGTATTGGAGTGGCTAGTTTTGAAGAGGGTGAAATGACAAAGCCTCCTCCAGAAGATAAGAAAGATGTAAGGGAATGGACTGTTGGAAATGTTCAGGGTTCATTTTAATTTTAATTTCATTAATTAATTTAATTTATTTTCTTAGACAAAATCTTGCTCTGTTGCCAGCCTGGAGTTCAGTGGCCCGATCTTGGTTCACGGCAACCTCTGCTTCCTGAGTTGAGGTGATTCTCCTGCCTCAGCCTCCCTAGTAGCTGGGATTACAGACATGCACCACCACCATGCCAGCTAATTTTTGTGTTTTTAGTACAGACAGGGTTTCGTCATGTTAGCCAGGGTGGTCTCGATCTCCTGACCTTGTGATCCACCTGCCTCGCCCTCCCAAAATTCTGGGATTACAGGCATTAGACACAATGCTAGGCAGAGGGGTTAATATTTTCAAAAGAGCTGTTAGGCTACTGTGTTGTGATTCATTCAAATTATGTTTTATCACAAACACGTTTCTTATAGCTTGTGCTCTTATATACATACAGCAGGGTTAAAAATGCCAACAACAAGGCCGGGTGTGGTGGCTCACGCCTGTAATCCCAGCACTTTGGGAGGCCGAGGCGGGTGGATCACGAGGTCAAGAGATCGAGACCATCCTGGTCAACATGGTGAAACTCTGTCTCTACTAAAAATACAAAAAATTAGCTGGGCATGGTGGCACATGCCTGTAATCCCAGCTGCTCAGGAGGCTGAGGCAGGAGAATCACCTGAACCCAGGAGGCGGAGGTTGCGGTGAGCCGAGATCGCACCATTGCACTCCAGCCTGGGTAACAAGAACGAAACTCCGTCTCAAAAAAAAAAAAAAAAAAAAAAAAATGCCAACAACATCAAAACACCAGGATGTCATATCCTGGTGGTCTCCTTTACAATTTGAGTTCCCCTCTTCAGAGGGCACTTCCTGAGCCCAGAACGGTGGGGATTAATGAATGTACTGAATTGTACATAAGAAAGGACTTCAATGACAGTGCACTGAGTCACCAATAATAGCCAAGTGCATTTAATTTGAAGTTACCCTTTGTTTTAGAGGGTAGAATAGCTGCTTTTTACCTTGAGCCTAAGATACTAGTTTAGTAGTAAAGGCTACAGAAGCCTATGAAACAAGGGCAAGAAATTGTGTGAGAAATGCTGGAGTCTCTTGAACTGAACCTTGAAGACCTGGCAGGATGAGGACAGTATATCCAGAGGCACAGGAAGCAAGCATCTGACAAGAAGGAGACTAGGCAGTGCCTTCCTGGCATATTTCCACTTTGGTGGTGTGGTGACACTGGGTGAGAGTGGTAAGAAAGTCTTGGTCTTCTGAGACAGAGAGGGAGCCAGTGTGAAGAAGACAGAAGTGAGGTGCTTAAGTTGCCAAAGATTCTTTTGAGCAGGGATAAACATGGGGCAATCCTGAGGGTCCACATCCATATAGGAGAAGCTTGGTAACTAATTTGATAATTTATATAGACTCTTCTTGGGACAGTTTGAACTCTGAATACTGAGTAGTAGAAATTTGTCTTCCTTGTCCTGGTATTTTGAGAGCAAACATGGGCTGTGTGTTGGCTGGGGACCTGGGTTTGGAACCAGTCAGTTTCTGCTTCCAAGTGCTACCTTTGCTACTGCCACCTAGTATCTGACTCCCTGGATGTGCCACTGTTTTCTCTGTTGTTAAGTGGATGAGCAAGGCACTCATTCTGAAGACTTGCTAGGACCTTGGTCCTCAGTCTTGTATGCTCCAACCCTTATCCCCATGGTTTTGTGTGGTTAGTAATCGTTAGTCCATTTTAAGAGGGACAAAAGTAAAGAGAGATCTGTAGAAACAGCTTTGGGAACAATCTCCATTAGAAAGGATTCCTGTGTGGTCTGAGCTTAAGAAATCATTGAGGAGTGGAGTTCAAGAACAGCCCTAGACCTTCAGACGTTTGTAGATACAGGGAGCAAATAGCCACAGGGCAGGATGGTGTAACATCAAAACTTCAAGATTATAGGTTACAGGATTTGTTGCAGTGTGAATATTTGATGACACTTGAACTGGCAAGCAGCCAGCAAAGGAATAATGCACAGGGGGTTACAGGGTGGTTACAGGGTGGTCCAGCATCGTTGACAGGGCTTGCATGGGACTTAGAACCCTGGAATGGTGAGAGAGTAGTAGAATATGTCACGTAGTAAGTTGTGACTAAATCATAAAGTACACCTGAGGTACATGGGATGTAGTGTGTTCAAGGAAGGTTTAAGTAGGCAGTACCAGTGGCTATGGTGCTTGGGGCAGGGCAAAACGGGAAGATAGTTGTGAGGCTACATTTGGAGAAGGAAGGGGGCACAAAATGGGATTTCCATATTTGGGGGTATGACCTTCATAACACAGACATCTCAAATTGCTGAATTAATTGCCCTCTTGTATTCCTTTTACCTACAAGTTAAGTTCAGCTAATGCTGAACTAAGGCAAGTAATCTGCTCAATCAGGTTACATAAGCAGTGGATCTTGAGAGATCAGGTTGCCTTTCCTTGTCTACAGGCACCTGTTCCATCAACAGGTCCCCACAAGCTAAGGGAATGTCTTCCTCTGATTGTCTTTCTCAGGAATAGACTCAAATATGCATTGACTGGACATGAGGTAAAGAAGATATGTATGCCCATCTTCATTAACGCTTCATTAAAATTGATGGCAGGGTTGGAGTGGATATCACATACCCTGCTGGATTCATGGGTAAGGAAAGAGTTCTTTGTTTTGAGGAAGGAACAGATTGAGAGAAAGTTCCCAGCCATCAACAGAACTGGACACTGAACTTTGATTTATGCAGAAGTTAGTGCTGGTCCTTTCAGAAGGAGAAAGAGGGATAGGGAGAGAGTGGCAAGGCTCAAGTGAAAAGCTCTAAAGGGGTTGGTCACTGTAAATAAGATGAGGCCAGCAGTGGCTGCTAGCTGACAGTTATCAACGTTTGGCTCCTACCCCCCCATTAGAGACTGGGAGACAGACAGAGGAGCGGTCCTCAAATGTTGGCTGGAACAAATAGTAAATTCTTTTGGCAGCCTTGAGTTTTCTCAGGCAGACACTTTGAGGGGACTGGGTAATCTTGATCTTTTAGAAGCCATTTTAGTGTTCAGATCTTTGTAGGCCACAGGTGAAGCTCAGTGAAGAAGAGGGCTCAGGAATCTGGCAAACGATTGGCCAAGGAGAGAATCTTTGTCAGTGAACAGGGTTTGGTTCTGTCTTCCCACTTTGCCTATTGGTGACTTAACCATACTGGGTCTCCAAGGATGTATTTGTAGCATGGTGGGAGAGGACGGTAGAAGAGGGAGGCAGGGTCACACTTCTCTAGGGAAAATGGGTACCGAGAGAGATAGTAGAGATAAGGACTGAGGAATTGTGACCTAGTCCTTTTTTCACTCTTTGTTTTCATGGTGATAGGCTCAGTACTTGTGTGTGTGTGTGTGTGTGTGTGTGTGTGTGTGTGTGTGTGTGTGTGATGAAGTCTCAGCTCTGTTGTCAGGGTGGAGTGCATTAGCGAAATCTAATCAATCTTGGCTTAATGCAACATCCAACTCTTGGGTTCAAGTGATTCTCCTGCCTCAGCTTTACCAGTAGCCACACCGCCAGGCCCAGATAATTTTTAAATCTTTAGTAGAGATGAGCTTTCACCATGTTAGACAGGATGGTCTCAATCTTTTGACATTGTGATCCACCCACCTCAGACTTCCAAAGTGTTGAAATTACAGGGGTGAGCCTGGATGCTCAGTACTTTTAACAGCCATTTAGTCTATTATTGTCTAGAGAACTGGGGAATATTTGGTTTATCAGGTGGTGTGTAGAACCTACAGAACTGATTGGGTTCCAGACTAGACTTTCCTGAGATGCATCCACTGAGTTAGAAAAACCAGACCATCGTTTCTACTTGCTTTCCTTTTTGTATTTTTTTTTTCTTTGTCATTTTGCTTTTCTCTCAAAACCCCAAATCTCAAGTGAGGCAGTATTCCTGGTAGGGGAATTCATAGAAGGAGTAGAGGGGACCACGGCATTGGCTGGGCTGGGCAGTATGCTGAGCCTTGAGACTTGGTTCCTTAAATGTGAGGAGTGCTCACTGATTTAGTTTCCTGGTGTGTATGGGTGTGCTCATGTGTGTTTTCTCCTCAGCATCTTGAGTGCATTTAATCCAGAACACAATCTCAAGCAGCCATTGCACAAGAACATACAAATCGGTAGACTATGGATAAATATAGTTACTTCCTTTTGTTGAATGACATTTATTGGGATAGAACCAGGTTTAGTTGGTTTTATTCAAGCACCCCAATTAAGCGTTGGGGATCCCCAGGCTGCTAAAACGTTCTCACATTCAACCTAGCATAGAGTGCCCCTGCTGTGCGGACCAAAGAAAGTTTGCATTAATTATGTTCCTTATACTTGTTTTTGATAAATGTCATCAGCATCGAGAAGACAGATATGCATTTCTGCCTGGTTTATGATGCCAAGGGTTGTTTTTTTTTTTG